TTGTCACTGATTCATTAAAATCATTAGTATTGCAGGTATCATTACATCTGACAGTTGAAGATATGACTGGTGATATAAGCTCATCATCATTTGTAGGAGAAAGGACTGATAGGTCTTCATATACAAAGGATACTACTGTAGCTGGTAGAGCAGTGAATATCACATTTGGTAGTGTTAGAGTGTTGCCATTATAATCAATTGCTGTGACCTCTTCATCAGGGAAATCTTGAACCTGTTTAACATTTAGAACTACAAGCAATGAACAGTATTAGATGCACTAACATTGAGGTATAGTTCTTACAAATACTGTCAGTAGAAAGGGACAAATCCTGTCCTACATTAAGTGCAGCATTGTCCAGTGTCATTAATAGCTGACTAAAAATAGAGACACCATCCTATGCATGATATTCATACAATTGACTTTATTTGAATAATTAATGATACCATTTTATTTGAAGCCATCTGTATTATTTCACTAGCAATATCAAGCACTATCTAAAAATAGAAATTTTAATAGTATCTATTTTGTAAAGTGTACACTTTGTGCTAAAGGCAATGATGCATATGCAAGGTACACCATACATGTACCTGTGTTGTCTCATTATCTGATTCCATATTGCTGTTTTTGATAATGAAGTCCAGTAATACAATGCTTTGAGCTGCTGGAAAGTCATTGAGTTGTTGTGATAGTGATTTAAGAGCAACATAATGTGATATATTAATCTACATGTATGAAGGTATGCCAATAATGAAGGTAGTGTTTGATAACAATAGATATCAAATTACTTTTGACATGATTTCCATGAATTGCTTACTGACACTGCAGTTAATTCGACCCCAACTTCCATTAAGATCACAATATCTTGTGGCTAAATAGAAAATAGTTGGTTAATTTATTACAAGTGACACTAACCATTAAATACTCCTTTATAACAAGTACCATTTGCCCATTGTCCTGGTTTAGTGCCTTCCCATTGATTAGTTTGTGGGCAATTCATTAAAGGAGGAGAGAGAGAGGGAGAGGGAGAATTAATATGGGAGAAAGATGTTGCTGCAACAATTGAAGTTACTGCAGGCATTGTTGTTATAAATAGAGAAGTATGTTCGCTGTTTGAGGAGTGAGGTCTAGATGATAGGATATGCATTAATGATGCAGAGTCAAGTTCAGAAGCAGATGACAGTATTGAAGTAGACATTGATGATGTAGCTTGTATACTGAAAGAGTTGAGCTGAGAAGCAGATAATAGTATTGAACTTGAAGTAGGCATTGATGATGTACCATTGTCAAGTTGAGAAGCAGATGACAGCATTGAAGTAGGTATTGATGACATAGCTGAAGATGTTTGTATACTGACAAGAGAAGATTCTGATGAATGAGACATTGATGATGAATTGACAATGGAAGATAGATCTAAAGGTGGTGAAGGTGGAGATTGTGATGACGATGATGATGATGATGATGTGTAACTAGGCAATTGTGATGATGTTGCTAAAGACAAAGAAATATGACTGAGAGACAACGAAGGTGTAAGTGTATACATTGAAGTAGGAGAGAGTGAAGTAAGCTCACTGACACTGGGACATGAAGTAGTAACTTGATTAC